CAGCCTCGGGACACCCTCGCCCCAGGCCTGCCGCCCGCCGCCCCGTTCCCGACCCGGCCCACCCCGCTCCACTCCGCCGGCGAGCGGGATTCCGGGCTTCCCTGCTGCAGAGAGAACACCGCCTTCTGACAGGCAGGAGCGACTTCCGGGACATTCCGGAAGTCCCATTCGCCCGACCGGCGCTTTGTGTGCTGGGAAGTTGGACGGTGTCCGGGAAGGGACATTTAAAGCGGAAGTTAACGCGTTCACGTTCCAGTCTTATTTTTGGCCTGAGCGGAGGGTTCCTATGATAAAACCAGTGTTGAAGGGCACACTCAATTCTCCCAGCGCACCCACGCGAGGGTTGGGCACTTGCTCGAGTTTCTTATCTTCGTACAATGGGTGAAACCAATTAAAGCTGAAGGGCGCTGATCATTGGGGATCTTTACTTCAATCAAACCTACTCCTCTAGCCTTCCGAGCTGCAGGAAAGATGCGGGCAGATGGAGGTGGAATTAGGTGGAGGGAAGAGAAGAATGCTAGGTCCCGCTGGCTGTGACCTTTGGGTCCTGGAATTTTGACTTATTAATGCCATTTGTGGGAAAATGGGTAAACTGTGGCATGTTCAGAAAAACAAATGAATAAACGAAAGAAGCCAGAACAAGAGTGGCGTCAGTATGTCATTTATGTAAGGTCATAGAACAGGCCAAACTGAGCTAGGCTGAAAATTTTTCAGAAAAGTGATTGATTGACTTTGGGATAATTGACGAGGAAGAGAATTTAGGGAATTTTTCAGGGGTGATGGAAATTATATGTTTAGGAAAAAAAAAAAAAGCTTATGAGAGACCTAAGGGATAGAGTCGCTGAATTCACTAATCAATCATCACATCACATCCTCATCTGGTGAGATGCACAGAGCATCACCCATTGCCAAAAACAGACCTGATCAAGCCTCAAGACCGAGCTATCAATTCATAGAAAATAGAGGGTAGTGACATGTTAGAAGACATCATGCAGGTGAGATATAATGCAGACATTTTATAGGATAACCTGTCAAATGGTGAGGGGAATGAAGTGAAAGGGGAAATCACTTTAGACTATGAGACTTCTGGAACATATCAGCACAATGCAATGGTACAGCGTGGACCTTGTTTGGATCCTAATGGGAAGAAACCATAAAAACTATTTAAAAAACAATCAGAAAATGGTATCGGGATATTAGCTACAATTAAGGAATTACTAAAACTTAACACATTGCAGACAGATCATGAGAATTCTCGTTTCATATTACAGTGTTTTACAAAGTATCATACTTCAAAAAGGTATTAAGTTGTAAGAACATAACTTCAAAATGCAATGGGTAATTTTAAAGCATGCCTTTAACATTTACGTAAAACGTTTTTCTGTACTCGTTCAATAGAAATTTATCTGGCCACTGGGTAAAGCTAGCAATAAAGCTATTGGTCCGCAATGTGTTGTTATATTAATGGCTTATGTATCTTTATTAAAAAGGAGTCCTTACGCCCAGCTGGACTGGCTCAGTGGTTGAGCATTAACCTACGAACCAGGTCATGGTTCAGTTCCCAGTCAGGGCATATGCCCGGGTTGATGGCTCGATCCCATGTGGGGCATGCAAAAGGCAGCTGATGGTGCAGAAGGCAGTTGATCGATGATTCTTGCAGCATTGATGTATCTCTCTCTCCCCACCTTTCAAATCAATAAAAAAAATATTTTTAAGAGTCCTATGTCTTTGAGATACATATTTAAGTACTTATACATGAAATAAGATGTCTGGGGGGAATGTGGGGGCAAATACGGGATAATGAAAAGATTGGCCATTTGTTAAATGTAATGTGTGATGAGTACACAGTTCATTGCATTACAATATTCTTCCTACTTTCATAGGTTTGAAAAATTCTGTAAGATTAGGCAAAACTTTTGTGCTCAGAGGTTCAAGAGCTCGTCTAGAATTTTATACTGAGTTTCCCTCACGCCTCCCTTGCACTGAATCTCAGCCGCAGAGGTGAAGGCTACCCTCAACAGACCACACATAGGCCCCGCCAGAGCTCAAGGACTTAAGTCCCTTCTATTGTCCAGTTTGCCAGGCTCTTGAGCTTCGACTCAAAGTCTCTGCTGGAGGTTCCTTTGGCCTTATCTTCCTCCCAATGCTTAATGACAACGGAGCCGTTGCCTCACCCCTTCCCTTACTCTTTCACAGGTAAACCCTCCCACCCCACAGAGCACCAATCAACAGACGGCTACATTCACTTTATTTTGCACAAAACGGATACAACCAATTGACTAAGCAATTCCAGAACTGTTAGTGTTCCTTAATCAAGAAGTAAATGATGTCAGAAGGAAAACTTTTCAATTCCTCTCAAACACATATTGCAAATACAACGAACTCCTAACACATGCGACACAGGCCGATTTTGACACAGAGAAAGCCTCAGCAAGAAGGGTGAGTACTGAATACCCACATGGGTCAGACCAGGAGCCATGCTCCAGAAGCTAGACTATACCTAGCCAGTTATTCATGCTGCACCCATATACATTTGCCCTGTGAAGTTCACTGTCCCTTGTCAGATTGGAATCCAAGCAGCTCCTTCCATTTCCAGGCTCATCACTTCCAAGGCGGATAATCCACACACAGAAATCCAGGCAGCTCAAATATGCTACTCACTCAGCTGTGTTTTACGTGACTTCTCCCCAAGCCAGGCTCCAGTTCAAATTCTGTACAGGAAGTTCCCATTGTCGTCAAAGAACTCTCGCCCCCTCTGCACGACCTTGCTGCTGAAGTTCTGGTCACCCAGTTCTCTTGCCCTCAACTCTTCCAGCTTCCGCGCACTTGGCGATCCATCACTGCCAGTGCCTCTGGTGCCCTCACAATCGCTGGTGGAGAACTTCCGCAGCTCTCTCTGGTGACCTTGGGCTGCAGCAACAGGCACAAAGCTTTCCTTCTCCAGGCTCTGGGCTCCTGTATTCCTTCCCGTCTGTCTCCTCGGTGTGTTTGTACTCTGCGTGTTCGGTTCTATCACCTTCAAAGCTGTGCTGTGACCTTGGCCTTGGGATGAGGCTTCACCTCCTGACACGGGGTGGCCTGCAGAAAGCAGCTTCCAGGTCTCCCCAGGGCCTGCAAGCTGGCGGAGCGAGGGGGCAAGCCCAGCTTTCTTAAGGACTTTTTGATCCTGCTTCAGTTTCTTCTCCAATGTGGGTACAAACTTGCTTTTTAGAACCCTTCTGATCACATCGGTGCTAACAGCAAAGCCTTCAGCCAATCTGGGAACTGACCAGGACTCTGGAAATTCTCCGTGTAAATACCTAGAGGAAAACGAAGCAGTTTTCAAGTTGTCAGAAAGTATCCTATCAGAATAGCTAACTGATATGAGTGATAAATACGTGAGAAGAGGTACAAACATAGGCCGTGTTTCATTCCTTTGTGCTAACACCAACACCCAACCACTCTAAGTCCACAGGAGAGCTGGTCTGAAAGGATGAAAAGGAGTAATAAGCTGACAGAGGGGAAGAGAAGTGATCAAAAGCACTGATGGTACAGCGAGCACATGAAACGCAAAGAACCTCACGTTTGTGGGGAATAGCTCAACTTGTCGGACAGCACGGGCAGGAGCAAAATCTTGGAGTTTACCCCAATCAACAGCAAACCAAGGAAGGCTTTTAACCAGGGGAATGCCACGAGCAAATTTCATTCTGAAGCTCGATCCAGTGGCAAGACTAGAGGCAAAAGGCCATCAGAATAATCCAGGCAGTATGAACAGGCGGTGGCAATGAGAGCAGAAAAAGGAAAAGACTTCAGAAATGCTCAGGAAGGCCAAATGGTAAACTTGGTTAAGGGACTAAATATTGGGGGAGGAAGCAGAGTCAGGATTTTAGCTTGGGTGATTGGTGGGATTATAGCAGAAACAGGAGAATTAAATTGTCAGGGAACAATGACAAATTCTATTTTGTACATGTTGAGTTTGAGGAGCCTGTGTGACATCCAGAGGTATCTAGTGCACAGTTGAATACACACAGAGTTCAGAAGAAAAACATGGACTGAAAATGATGGCCTGAACAGCAAAGACTGTTAAGCCATGTGAGTGGCTGCCATCAGGCAGGGAAGTAGGCGGAGTGAGGTAAGTGACTGAGAAGACAATTCTACAAAACGGCAATATTTAAGAAACAGGAGCAAGAGAGGGGTGTTCAGGAAGGAAACAAAAGCAGCCCTAGAAACAGAAGTGAGGAGTAACTGGGTCAAGGGAGAAGAGAATTTTGTGAAAGCAAACCACAAGGTCCTATGCTGCAGAAATGGTAGGCGTCCTAAAGACTAGAAGATCAGTTATGCCTAGCATGTAAAAAAAGTCACTGATAGATTTGTGGAGAATGGTTTCATAGACCAAAAAAAAAGCAACAACAACAAAGATAGGCAGCCTACTGTGAACAAAATAAATCCAAAAAAAAAAAAAAAAAGCAACAACAACAAAGACAGGCAGCCTACTGGGAACAAAATAAAGAACTTAAGAAAAATCAGTAAAATATATTTTAAAAAAAAAAGAGCTTAAAATGACAGAAGTCGGTTCCTGAGGAATTAGGGAGGGATAGAACCTAGTGCACACAGAAGACTGGTCCTAGACGAGTGAAGGGCTACTGTTTCCTCCGAGATGTAAATAGTATAGGACTGAGATGGAAAACCAGAGGGAAGACCAAAAAGCTTTAATGGACACCTACTTAATGGCCTGTTTTTTCTTTGAAGTGAAAGGACATTTACAGACCACATTTATAGGTCTGACAGGCAGGAAGTTTTGAAGAAGCTGTTGTTCAAGACAGAGGGGGAAGCCAATGCAAGAGGCACTACAGGCCCACAGTCTTCCTCTTCCTTTTTTTTTTAATCCTCACCTGAGGATTTTAGAGAGAGTGGAAGACAGAGGAAAAGACAGAAATATCAATGTGAGAGAAACACATTGAATAGTTGCTCCCTGCACGCTCCCTGGCCAGGGCCCCAGCAGGGAAGGAGCCTGCAACCCAGCTACGTGCCCTTGACTGGAATCAAACCTGGGACCCCTTGGCCCACAGGCCGATGCTCAATCTGCTGACCCAAATCGGGCCACAATTCTTGATCGGCTCTCCAGGATCTTTATTCTAAGTCTCAATTTCAGAGTCATTCTGATGGAAATGAAAAATGGCACGTAACTCATGGAGAGCTATTTAGCAATATTTATCAAAATCCACAATCTATCTGCCCTTGGGCCTAGCACCCCTACTTTCGGGAATGTATAAACAACTACGCCTGGTAGATATCCATACTAATAAAAGGCTAAGTAGTTGTCACGCCCTCACGCGTGATGCCCTCATGCTGTCACAAGATGGTTGTGTGCACAACGGAGGCGGGGCCTCGGTGGCCGCTCCACACGGCTTCCACCTGGGCTCCCACAGCCCGGCGCACCCGCTGCAGAGGTGGGACCCCGACTCGGGCCTACCTCTTCGGGGCAATCCATCAAGGAGCCCCGGATCAACTGTGTCACAATGTTAAAAGCTATTAAATCAAGATGACGGGATTGTGGAAGCTCATTATATTGTCTTAAAGAAAACTTAATAAAAAACGAGGCCCTGCTTCAGGCTGAGGGCCCGGGAAGGAGCCGGTACCTCTCCACCTCCTGCAGCTCCCGCTCCTCTGGTTCCCAGTCGGAATCGGGGTCCGGCTCGCGGCCGGTAGATCCCGGGCCTGCCACCCCCTGGGTCGCGAATCCACAGCGAGCGACGACGGCACGAACGCGCGCCCCGAGCAGGAGACTCAGAGCACCCGCCATGTTGATCGGACTGGACTGCTTGCAGCCTGAAACGCAGCAACACCGGAAGCCGAGGGGCGGGACCGGAAGTGGTAGGGCGGGACCCGGAAAATGACGTCACCGGTCGTGCCCGCTTCCGGCCGAAGGCGGCCAATCTGGACTGGAAGAGCTCTTCGGCCCACCCTTTCCGCTGTAAATAATGGGAGCGATTCCCGGGTACGCGAGAGTCCGAATGAGGCGTGCACGAATTTCGTGCACTGGGCCTCTATTATGGTATTATAATGGGTATACAGTTAGGCACTAGAGCACCATCTGTGATAGCAAGTGAGTGGCAACAATCCAGGACCCATCATAAAAGACTGGCTAATAAACTATGACTATGACTTCCATAAAACATTTCCAAAGAGGAAAGATGTTAAATGAAAAAAAGTACAGGTAGTATGTGTATTTAGAGTCGTCTACTGTCTGATTAAGGTGAAAACAAACACCTATATTCATAATCGCTATGTGCAGATATAGCAAAAGTCCCCCAGAAAACTATTCAAAACAACACCCACAGGATCCTGGCTGGGGTTAATACTTCTCAATATGTAAACCACATTATTCTGCCCTAATTTCAAACCACGTCATCTATTCAAAACAAAACAAAAGAACTTTAAAATTTAAGAAAGGGCCCTGACCGGTTTGGCTCAAAGGACAGAGCATCAGCCTGCAGACTCAAGGGTCGCAGGTTCGATTCCGGTCAAGGGCATGAACCTTGGTTGCAGGCACATCCCCAGTGGGAGGTGTGCAGGAGGCAGCTGATGGATGTTTCTCTCTCATCGATGTTTCTAACTCTCTATTCCTCTCCCTTCCTCTCTGTAAGAAATCAATAAAATATATTTTAAAAAATAATA